ACATGTGGATTGAGCCTGTTTGGAAATAAAGTAAAACGCCCTGACTATAATGCATAGTAATATGCTAATAATCCAGGAATTAAAGATGATAAATACTTAAAAACAACTTAAATTGCACTTATTAATATTTGTTGCAAAATGTTTCTTTCTTTTTTTTTTTTACCTCCAGGCCCTGGACAAAATCCGCTATGAGAGTCTCACTGACCCCTCCAAGCTGGACAATGGCAAGGACCTAAAAATCGAAATAATCCCCAACAAAGAGGAACGTACCCTCACCCTGATTGACACAGGCATTGGCATGACCAAGGCCGACCTGATTAATAATCTTGGCACAATCGCAAAATCTGGAACTAAGGCCTTCATGGAGGCTCTTCAGGCCGGGGCCGACATCTCCATGATCGGCCAGTTCGGCGTGGGTTTCTACTCTGCCTACTTGGTCGCTGAGAAGGTGACTGTTGTCACCAAGCACAATGATGACGAGCAGTACATCTGGGAATCCTCCGCTGGTGGCTCCTTTACAGTTAAAGTGGACAACTGTAAGTAATGTAGCTGCCATTGTTTTGTAGTTAAAGGTTCAGTGTGTAAGATTTAGATGAAATGGATCAATTAGCAGTAATTGACTATAAAATAATCCTAGTGATGTTTTCACTATCACTATCTAAATTGTAAAAATTGGCTTTACCCTAGAATGGSCTCTTTATATTTAAATACTTTATATTTACATTGAGAGTGGGTCCTCTCTATGGAAACCACCATGTTTTTTACAGTAGCCCAGACTGGACAAACTTAATACCTTTTTGAGGTTTTATGAAAACTGAAGGCTTACACAAGTCCTTGTTCATGTTTGGAAGGGGAGGGTAAGGTGAGGTGCATTCTGCTCCACTAGATGTCACTAAAGTCTACACACTGAACCTTTAACAGTTATTTTTCACAATCTAAGGAATAAAAGGTGCCTTATCGCTGTACCTTGCACTAACCTGTCTGTGTCCTGTGCAGCCGAGACAATGGGTCGTGGCACTAAGGTGATCCTGCACCTGAAAGAAGACCAGACAGAATACATCGAGGAGAAAAGAGTCAAAGAGATTGTGAAGAAGCATTCACAGTTCATTGGATACCCCATCACACTTTTTGTAAGTGCTCATTGAAACTGATACACAGATTGCATTCTTATTTACCTTGAGCATTAGTAGAGGGAATTTGCCTTTAAATACATAGTATTGTGTGATCTTATGGTTTAAATTGATCAGTAGAGTATTCAGTCAACTGGATTAGTTTGTTTACGAATGAATTATTATTTCTTAAGGTGGAGAAAGAGCGAGACAAGGAGGTGAGTGACGACGAGGCAGAGGATGAGGAGAAGGAAAAGGAGAAGGATAAGGAGGAAGAAGAGGAGAAGGACGAAGACAAGCCAGAAATTGAGGACGTTGGGTCAGATGAGGAGCATGACCACGACAAGTCTTGTGACAAAAAGAAGAAGAAGAAGAAGATCAAGGAAAAGTATATTGACCAGGAGGAGCTGAACAAGACCAAACCCCTGTGGACCCGTAACCCCGATGACATCACTAATGAGGAGTACGGAGAGTTCTACAAGAGCCTAACCAATGACTGGGAGGACCACCTGGCTGTCAAGGTAGGTTAATTACTTGACAATGCAAATGTTTTTCATGTTTTAATATATTCTTATTATCAAATGTGAGAACTGACTGGAATCTCAACTGATTTTACCCGCAGCACTTCTCAGTAGAGGGTCAGCTGGAATTCCGTGCGCTGCTCTTTGTTCCTCGCCGCGCCCCATTCGACCTCTTTGAGAACAAGAAGAAAAAGAACAACATTAAACTGTACGTGCGCAGGGTCTTCATCATGGACAACTGCGATGAGCTCATCCCTGAGTACCTCAGTGAGTATTAACCCTTGTCTGGAATGACTAGCTTGAGCCGTTTGTTCATAGATCAAATAATCCGATGATATTATTTGTATAATAAATAAATGAATAATGTTAGAAATGCAATTGGGCTGCTGACAAAGTTGTTTGCATCTATCCCATCAGATTTCATTAGGGGTGTGGTGGACTCTGAGGATCTTCCCCTGAACATCTCCAGAGAGATGCTGCAGCAAAGCAAGATCCTGAAGGTCATCCGCAAGAACCTCGTCAAGAAGTGCCTGGAACTTTTCACTGAACTGGCCGAGGACAAGGACAACTACAAAAAATACTATGAGCAATTCTCCAAGAACATCAAGGTCAGTGTCCTCTCCTTGGACTGCAAGCTGCATGTTTTTTCTAATCTTTTCTCTTTAAAACATTTGGTAGCAACTTAGTGTTAAACCCTGCTCTGCCACAGTTTGATACTGTGTTAATGTGATCTGAGAGAAACCCAAATATTATCGGAATTCAAGAGGTTGCTTACTATTGCTTCAAGTGCACAGCTTTTAAGAACCATTGGAACTTCAGTTAATCATCACCTTTGTTCCTCTGACCTTTTACTCATTAGCCATCTGTCTGATCCTGAGGCCATATTGTCCCAGTGAAAAGACTTAAATATAGGCACTGTGGTTGTCAATGATTACACCTTATAGTGTTTTTACTTATTTTAATCCATGAAACATTTATCAAATAACACTTTGCTTGTAACAACATGGTGCTAACAACAAGCGGTTCCTTTATTTTTAGCTTGGTATCCATGAGGATTCACAGAACAGGAAGAAACTGTCTGAGCTGCTGCGCTACTACACCTCATCCTCTGGAGATGAGATGGTTTCCCTGAAGGACTACGTCACACGCATGAAAGATAATCAGAAACACATCTACTACATCACAGGTGAGGATGAACTCAATAATAATTAATTATTAAATAAATAGTATGAATTTAGTTTCAAATCAAGTGAACTGAGTTCTTGTTATATTACATTATATTACAACATTTCCATATCTGTATTTCAGGTGAGACCAAAGACCAGGTGGCCAACTCTGCCTTCGTGGAGCGCCTTCGCAAAGCCGGCCTGGAGGTCATCTACATGATTGAGCCCATAGATGAGTACTGTGTCCAGCAGCTGAAGGAGTTTGAGGGCAAGAATTTGGTGTCAGTGACCAAGGAAGGCCTGGAGCTGCCTGAGGATGAGGACGAGAAGAAGAAGCAGGAGGAGAAGAAGTCACAGTTCGAGAACTTGTGCAAGATCATGAAGGACATCTTGGAGAAGAAGGTGGAGAAGGTGAGCAGATGAATACATTTAGAAAAACTCATACAACCCATATTGTTGTGCAGTAAAGCTGGAAGAAAATGATGGTATTAAATTTTGTTATGGTTCACACAGGTCACAGTCTCCAACCGCCTGGTCTCCTCCCCCTGCTGCATCGTCACAAGCACTTATGGCTGGACAGCCAACATGGAGAGGATCATGAAGGCCCAGGCCCTGAGAGATAACTCCACCATGGGCTACATGGCCGCCAAAAAGCACCTTGAGATCAACCCTGACCACCCCATCGTTGAGACCCTGAGGCAGAAGGCAGAGGCTGATAAGAACGATAAGTCAGTGAAGGATTTGGTCATCCTGCTCTTCGAGACTGCCCTGCTCTCCTCAGGATTTACTTTGGATGACCCCCAGACCCACTCCAATCGCATCTACAGAATGATCAAGCTGGGTCTCGGTTAGTGTCTGTGTTACAATTTATGGCTGTTAAACTATCATTCAGTGTGTTTGACATTCTTATTTAAAATGACCTGGCTCCATTGATTTATTGCCATCTTTTTCTTCTAGGTATTGATGAAGATGACCTGACATCAGATGAGCCCACTGTTGCCCCCACCGAGGACATGCCGCTTCTTGAAGGTGACGATGATGACACATCCAGGATGGAGGAGGTGGACTAAGCCTGTTTTCTATCGCCCGCTAGCGTTCAGAAGTAGTGTTCTTTAAAAAATTACAAGTTTAATGTTGTAAATGAGCTTGAAAAGTCCCCCTCCTCAACCTCTTTTTGACCAAGTTCACTTCATTTCCCCTCACATTGACCATATGCAGCTCATAGTCATTCCCTTTAGAACATAATTTTCTAAGTTGTCAGTTTTTTGTATCTTAAGTTTTATCGATGCATTTGTTCTTTTGTATTTATTGACATTCCGGTGTACTTTGTGTGTTCTTACATCAATTGTAAATATATGAAAATTGATATGGTTCTTTGAAATGGTGGGACCCATAAATAAAAGTTTACCATGTTAACAAGTCATGTTTTGTCGTACTTATGAACATATGAATAACATGTAATTATTAAGCAATAACATACACACTGACAAACTAAAATTCTGTCATGCTGCACAAAATTAAATATATCTTGATTCTCTTCATCTAGACTCTGTGCATTATTCCTATTGGTGAAAATATCGAAAAATTCCTAGACCTCCCCCCTGATCCAGATCAGCACCAAGTGCTGATGAAAACATAACCTCCTCGATGGAGGTCATACAATACATGTAGCGGTGAACAAATATAATAATCCTACATATCCAATAAAAATAATTGAAATGGATGGTTCACAGAAAAATGAAAAATCACTCATCTATTCACCACTATACCGATGGAGGGGTGGGTGAAGTGCTTGAGTCCACTAAACACTTTTGGAGTTTCAGGGGTAAACAGCAATGCATCCAATCCAATCCAATCCAATTTAAGTTAATTGTGACCACTTCCTCAAACACTTCTGGGATGGTGCCCTGCATGGGGGTGGGGCTGCTTGTATTCTATGCAGAAGTAGAGATGATGCCATGTATAAACGCTGCACCCACCTGCAAACCCTCAGATGGCATGATTCCCTCGCCACTCGTGTCATCTCAGGTGAAAGGTTTTTTTTTTTTTTTTACAAGGGACTATGGTCCAGTCACTAACACAGATGGAACGCCTGCTGTCACGTGTTGTAATACCAGCTGCCGCCAGCAGGGAGCTCCCGCAGCGCAGCGTGTAAAATCTGTGACGCCGGGTGGGTCAGCTGACAGGCGGCAGCCAATCACAGAGCGAGGACGGGCTGAGCCGCCCTGCGGTTTGGTGCCCGGAGAGTTGTCAAGGTTTCTGGTTGTGGAGGATCCGAGAGGGAGCGAGGGCGGAGACGCTTCTACGATGCCGAACAAAACGAAGAAGGACAAGGTGAGCTCCCCGGAGTCTGTAGCGCTGGAGGCTAAAGTCTGCGTGAGGCTTATTTCAGCGCATGTATCCATAAGTTGGTGTCACCGGGAGATATTTGAGCTCCAGCATCACATTAGCCGAGGAGCAGTCACCAGCAGCTAGCCGCAGTCTGACCAACATGTTAGCAGTGGGTGCGTTAGCTTATTTCAAACCCGTTATACAGGAGCGAGTTCACTTTGAATGAATGTGACAGCCGGTGTGGGTTAATGTCTTTTTGTGTTGTCTCTAGTTTTGTCTGCTTGTAGTTTAAACCTGGATTCTGGGCTAACGTTAGCTAGCTAGCAGGAGACTCGCTCATTGAAGAGTGAGAGACTGGATGGGCAGCCGCTATATTTAGCCGGGATTTGTGCACAGCTGCGGCGGCACACTTGCAGACTGCTTGCTGATGTTGTCAATCTGCTTATACCAAGATGACTTAAGCACTTACACTTTTCTTTCTTTCTTTCTTTCTTTCAGGAGACCCCTAAATCTGCTAAAGTGGGCAAGAGTGGAGGACAGGAGAATTCAGAGCATGAGGTAGGCTCTTTCAGGAAACCCTACGAGACGCTTCCCATGGCTCAGTGGGTCAGTCCCTCTGTCTGACACAAGTCCAAATGCCACTGATGCTGCATCATAGACATCACAATCCTCGTATTGCATCGTGGCTGTTTGAGAAACTGAGATGATGAGTCAACACGCCCAATTACTGCATTATCAGTAACCACTGCAGTGCTCTGATGTGATTCTGTTTAGACATGGTGATGTTCAGATGGGATAAAATCATATTAATGCATTCTAGCCATGATTGGAAGTCTTGGCGATATGGTAGAAATATCATATACCCTTGTATTCCATAGCTAACATGAATGTTATATCATTGTTATTATGGAAATGACCATAGATTATTACTATACTATGCAATACCATGCAATATCTGGAATACCTGTTCAAAATGTTTGCAATCTCCCATTGTAAGTGATATAACCCACGCAGACAAGAACATGCAAACTCCATACAAAAAGGCCCCTTGGCCAAGAACCCCCTTTGTTGTGTGGTGGAAGTGCTCATTAAATGTGTAGTGCTAGAATTGAGTAATTTTATTTAACAAACCCCAAGTGGAGCCTCACTTCTGTTGACCTGCTCCTGTTAGACAGGTATTGAACTGGTCCACCTGTCATGTAGTGGAGCCGGTACTCGCATAGTAGATAAACCATCTGTGGAATGGGCAATGTTGCCCCCATACTAATATGAGTCAGTTGCAGATCTTGGTGAGATACTCATGATGTCTTGCAGCTGTAATTCCCTGTAGTTAGGGGGAATCATGTGTTTGACTCTTGCTTGGTTGAGAAGCCAGTGAAACAAAGCTACAGTCAGTGGAATCATCAGTCCTCTTAAGCAGAATTTCATATGTAATATCCTGTTATTATCAGGCCTCTGTTGGTCTGTACAGGATTTATTGATAGGACTGGGTTGTGCCATGGTTTTCCTTCTCCTGACTTTTACTGCTGTTTGTTGTTAACCTGGTGTTAAATGATTTGTGGATGACTTGAGTTTAGGGCACCAGCCAATCAAATTCACGAGTGACTCACTGTTTAATACTTAGATGCCACTTAAATTTATTCCCCAGAACATTTATCTTATTTTTCACGTTGCTTTGAAGCTAAAACGTTATAAACAATTTAGATATGTCTTCCTGACCCTTCCTTTGCTTTCTTTCTTAAGCTGTGTTACCAGCTCCCTGCCCAGCTCTCGCAGGACGATAATCCTGCATGTTTTATATCGTGCAGCCATGTCACAATCCACTAATGCAGCAGCCTTGTGTCAAATTAAAATCAGTGGGCTCTGAGCTGCCGACACCACCTCCCACCATTCTTATTGTCTCATACACAGTATTGTATGAAACTGAGGGGAGAAGCCATGTCTAATGAAGCCACAACTGTGATGAAGTACAGTCAGAGCATTAAATTAGAAAATAATTGACAGATGTCTCTACTTTTGCTTAATGAACTTATGAGTACAGAGTTAATTCCTGTCTTTGTATTACATTAGTATGTAATCTAGTCCATAACAGCTTAGCTCAGCGTGATTTCCCACTTTGCCTCGACAGCTTGCTCGCAGCCCAGCCTAAGCTGCTGTCTTGCAGCGCTGCAGACTGTAGCCAACTTTATCTGGGTCTTAAATGAATTTGATGAAACTCCTGTGACTCAGACCGACACAGCTCCACAGCTGCATCTGGTGGAACAAGTTCTGTTTCTAAGTGTGTTTTTTAATGGATTTTTTGAGAAACACAGTTGGACGGCTCAGTGGAATCATGATAATTTACACTGTATGGTTATATATAGTGTCTGTATATTGGGTAAATTGACAGTTATGACCCTAGTTACATAATGCAAGGTACTGTCTTATTGAATAAATGGTGACACATTGTATATAATTAAAATGCCGATCAAGCATACCGCAGCCAAACTGCTTAGCCGGTGGCTATGTGCACACAGTTTCATCAGATCCATAAAGAGATGCTCTTTCACACTGTGTGCGCCACTGATCAGCATGTGCCTGCTCTTACCTCGCTGTCACTAATGTGCTCTTTTTTTCCTGTTTCAGCAGAGCTCGAACAGGAAGGCTAGCAATAGTGTTCCTCCCACCACTCAGCTGCTAAAGGGGAAACAGCCAGGTTCCCAGACACCTGTCAAAAAGGACAAAAGGCAGAGCTCTTCTCGCTTCAGCTTGAGCAACAACAGAGAGCTGCAGAAACTGCCAGCTTTCAAAGGTATTTACCTGTACAATTCCTCAGTCCTGTCACCTAATCACCTTATAAACTAATTACCCAGTGCCCTAGGATTTGGAGCTGCTGTCTGGACGTATTGTGCCGCTGTTTCCAGGCTGGAGCACTTTTCATTTGGTTTAGGAGTTTTAGACAAAATGCCTTTTGGTTTTGCCTTTATCCAAGGATATTTGGGAGTTTTTCCTATTGGTAGGTTTGTAAAATATATGAGTTGGGTGCTTGAATATGTAAGAAATCACTAGACTCTCAACAAAGTGCAATGTTCAAATACAAGAACACACTCAGCTGAAGTGAATACTGAAACATCTATAACAATCCCTGACTGCATCACCCTCATTTTAATACTGAGCTGAGCATGACGTTACGCAATCCATGGAAACAAACAGAGGACGTAAATGGGATGGACTTTGCGCTGGATTTAGCCCAAGTGTCTATATTTAGTGGTAATCCAGAGATAAAGCTTTAATTCCATGGTCCTTGTGTTTAGGATGTTGCCAGTGACCAGACAAAAGTGGTGTCTTTCCTTCCCCCTGGGTGGATCTTTGCAAATGCATATTGTTTATGTATCATTTACTTTAATGTATAAGATCAATGTTGGCATAGCGCCAGATTGAAAAGGACTGGACTCTGCTGTTTGGCCTCTGGGTATATTGTCCATGCGTGTGTCAGTGTACGCATGCATGAATACACAAAACGATGGTGGCCACTGCCCTTTCCCAGCTAACCTGGCAGTGAACTGAAAAAAACTAATTACATCATGGTCTGTATTTATATAGCCATTCACCCATTCATACAGTGCATCCATGGGCAGCACTTTTTTTCTATGAGGGGCAATTTGGGCTTCAGTATCTTGCTCAAGGGCACTTTGGGCATGCAAATTGGGATCGAACCGCCTACTTTCTTCTTCCCCCCTCAGCCACAACTGTCCCCAATGAAGTATTGAATACTTGTACTAATACAAAAACAGTTTTTGAGTCAACTGCTTTGTGAAATTACATATAATTACTAGTGCAATATTAGTTCTATGTCTAGAAATGATGAAATCTCAGAGGAAATGAAGAAAAAACAACCAGAAGCAGTTTTCTAATTGAACAAAGGTTAAAAAAACCTTTCAGTTTCAACTCCCCTAATGACTTTACATTTTAGTAAGCGAAGCAACGTTAAAAAGTTTTCGTCTCAAAGACACATTATTTGAAAAACACAAGTTACACAAATTCCTCATTCAAGAAGCTTGTCTGTGTTAGCCTATTGTTTCCCATTAGTTAGTCAGACCGTGGTGGCCTGCTCAGTTTAATGTGTACCAGCACAATTTCATAACGAAGCATTGCCATTACTTGTTTGCAGTATTTTCTACAACCAAGCAACACTGGCAGACACATGACCATTGTACGTGCGTGGTCGTGTGAAATGCATTTTCATGTGTATTAGTATGGATAGAGATGCCTGTTGATCTGGAGCTAAAATGCTTGTCTGGACAGGGAAGGTTCTCATTTTAAAAGTTCTTTAGAGTGAATGCATATGAGTGTGGATGTAGCCTTGGGGTGTGACATGCAGTAACATATCTTGCTGCTGCTATAGCACTGACACTATTTTCTCCAAGCATATTTTGCATTTTAGTCTCTTTAATGTTAAACTATTAGACTTAACATTACATTTTTATAAAAACCTTTGTTCTAACATGCTGCTGTATCTGCTCCTCTCCATGGACAGAGCTACCACTGCCTGTCTCCTGGAGGCAGCCAGGTCTGTGTGTGCCGGCAAGTCTCTATGTCCAGGCTGTGATCCCTGAGTCTGTACAGTTTCTGATCAGTGCTGGTGGTCGGATAATCTACCACTGTGCCCTTTTCTGTTTAGAGCCAAATGGCATTGTGGGCGGCTGTGGAACTAACCGGAAAGTCAATAATTCGATCCGCAGCTCCCCCAGTCAGCATGTGGAAGTGCATGTCTAAACCCAAACTGCCTGATGTGTGAATGGATGAGCGACAGAGAAATGCTATATATAGAGGCACTATATTTAGAAGCGCTGTATGACTGTGTGTGAATAGGTAAATATGACTCATAGGGTGAAGTGCTTTATGTGGTTAAGACTAGAAAAGGCTATATAAGTTTCAATTATTATAAGTGCAGTTTTTGTGGTAAATGTCAGAATAGTTAATTTAACAGTGTTTTTCTGAAGTTATAATATTATAATATAGTTGTTTCAGGTTGTGTGTGTCAGTTTTTAAATTTTGTGTGATTTGGCTTCACAACATAATTATATGGGACTCATCAATGTGAGTGATGTTGTCGATCATGACGAAAATAGCAGCGACAACTGATTCTCCAGTTCGAGGTTCTGCATATTGAGTCGAGCTTCACTGAACTGTGAATAAACAGGTGAACAAACAGCACTTTGTGCAGCAGGTCACTTTTACAGTTTCAAAAAGAAAGCTGTAACCAACATTACCACAGGCCAAGCAAATGGCCCATTCCAAACAGGCAAGTTTGGAACAGGTGCTGCACAAGTTGCCTAAAGATCCTGATGCATCAGTTGGTTTGCCCAAAAAAAAAAAAGCTTTTTAACTGTTCCCAGCTGGCACGCAGAAGTCTGCATAACACAGGTTTTCTATTTTCACACACATGTCCTCCTTTTTTATTTATTTAGTTTTCTATGCAGCTCTTTAAATGTTAGGCACTTGTGAGCAAAGGATGCAATCCTCTTTAGTGAGAATCGTTAATAATCAAATATTCGTTTGCATTTTTTAGACATGGCTAATGGAGCAAAATGTAGGAACTGTAGCAGCTGTGGTGTTATCGTGCACCATTTTTTCACCCATTTGTTTTTTCTTTTGGTTTACAAATAATGGACGCAAGAATAACTGCACTTTACCATTAGCTATACCTGTGCCTTTGTCCTGGTTAGCCATTACCCCGGGGCTGCGTCAGGCATAACTTAATTTCTGATAAAGGCTGCCCACTTCCCACACCCCAGTGAGAACTTTGATAACATTCTGCAAAACATTATCCCACAGTGGCCCTGTAGATGTTATCACTCAGTCCTGTCCAAACAGGCTCCTCGCTTGGCCTGTTTTCATTCCAGGCATGTTCGCCACCTCCTGATGGAAACACATGTCCGCGAGCGAGTCTGTCCTGCAGAGCCACAAGGCTGAGGTGAGGATGAAAACCCTGACCAGAAGGCGGGCCTTTCCCATGAGTCCACCGCAAAACCATGTGTACTTGCTGTGACTCCAGAGTACATTTAAACTCTCTCAGCTTTTGTGTTTGGTCACACAACAGTTGAATTTCTTTCTGTTGAACGTTTCGTATGGCGAGAGCCTGTTTCAGAATCTGGGTTTTATAAGGCTTGAGCAAAGTACACAAATCAGGAATTTTGTGTACTGGTTAGATGTTTGCTGGAGATATTCTCTTAGATATTCTACTGTAGAAAGTAAAGAGAAGATAAGTCTTCTACAAGGGCCTGTTTATTTCCTTCTGGTCATAGTCTAGTATAATGCTTGCCAAAAAGCAAAGGACAACAGTTGTTGCTTCTATATGTATTCAGCAGAAGCTGTTCTGCAGGAACCCTCGGCCTCACAGCGTTTGTCGCCATCTGGTGGTTAGAGAATGAGAAAATAATTCTGCCTCCCTGGAACAAAGATCTTTAATTTCAAAATACATTATAATCTATCCCTTTTATTAACATTGAGTGAGAAGTGAAATCTCATTTGTAAATACACTCTTATTTGTGGTGATTGATTTAATGCAGATTTTTTTTAAAAATGGGCACAATAAGGATTTATTAAGTGTTTTGATATTGGAGTATGCAGAAACAATTTCCATGCACCATTTACTACAGAAGTTACGCCACTTATTACAATGTCTATAATCTTGTCTGTGTGCGTATTACAGTGTTTGCTTAAAATATGTGACCACTACAGGTAGGCACATTGCACAGCAACGCATTGCACAGCAACGCATTGCTCAGCAACGCATTGCACAGCATTGCTTAATGATGTATCCTCTTTATGTTTTCAACAGCCAGGTTAAAACACTTTGGTGCCTGGAAGGGTAGAAGAAGTCTGATGAGACACAGAATCTTTTGCAGGTATTTTTAATGTGGTCGGCAGAAATTTAAAGCAGGATGCAGAGGCCGAAGCAGGTTTCAGGGAAGGATTTCCTCTGCGACTCCCGCATGTGGTAGAGGAAGAGACTCCCACATCTCATGAGTGAGACGTCCCTGGCCAGACAACTTGCATAAAAACACAAAACCATCTCCTGACATTGGAGGGGTCATGCATGCCCTTTAAACTGAAAACAAGTTTTTTTTATATTGTACAAGCCATTCCATAATGACTGTATGATGTCTTCCCAGTAATTATCTACACAGGGAGGCCCAACGTTCAGATTTGTCTTGCCACCGTTTCATAATGATTTTTTTTTTCACAGCATAGAAGATCTTAGTGTTTTATTCTGTTGCTTTACTGTAGAGCTGTGTGCAGCACTCTCTAAACTGCTGTAGCTCTCTGTCTCACACATACACACACATTAACCCGTTTGTTAGAGTCCAAGACCATAGGCAGCAGCAGCAGGAGGAATCATGTGTGTGCCTATGGTCTATTAAAACATTAAAAATGTTCTCAAGGCAAATACCTCATCTGGTTGACTTGAAGAGGAAAGTTTAGGAAAGTCCCAAAATAATACTGCAGATATGAAGCTTGGAATCTGAATATATTCAATTTGTATTCGAAAGTAGTGCAGGTATGCCATAATAATTGATTTGATCATCATCTGTGTAAGCAGATAAATTAATTCAGGATAAGGTTAGAGCTGTGTTTCTGTCATTGGAAGTTGCATAACAGGAAAATTAGGTCCAGCTCCTTTTTAAAGGTGCATGTGTGCTCGGCTGCATGGATCGGTCTATTTCTCCAAATAGATTCAAGCCTTAAGCATGTATTACTGGGGGCCATGACATTGAAAATCAGCAGACCTAAATGAAATGAACCACA